TTACCCCGTCGCCGAAGAACAGATTGGCAACAAGAAGCAGTTGATATCGTTGGGACAGAAGAGCCACATGATCCGACAAATGGTGACGGTGTCAATCCGGACGGTGGGGACGAGCAGCCATGGACCCCGTTCGGCCTGCTCGATCTGGGTCAAAATGACCAAGATGGCCAGGTAACTTTGGTATCATGTGACTATGTAGCCACACACGCTAATCAATTGAGAGGGTCATAGCTAACTTGGTGTCTCTAGCAGGAGCCTCCGCCGGCCGAGGAGCTAGAGGGTTCGGGTAGCAGGAAGGCCAGATCCAAGCGAGGCGTGTCAAAGATTCCTATTGGTAGGAATGCACACTGGCACATTACTGAGTTCGATGAATTCGGGGATCCACTCTCACCGCTTATAGCTTTGACCAAATACAAGACTATCCTCGGGTTACTTATTAGGGACTTCATCCCGATTAAGTACAGGAAGTGGATTGAGAAAGATGATGATCGATGGAGGGTTCCCGAAAGCGAGAAGGATTACATATGGGATGTCAAGATCCTAGAGTATTTCACTTTCCCAGCCGAGTATGACAGAGAGTTAGTCAAGAAAAAAGCAAAAGAAATCATGGGGACATGCTTCAAGAATTTCAAGGGGACATTGTACAAGAATTTTGTCCTCCAAAATAAAAAGCCAGATTTCGATGGTGGACAGTTTAGCAAGCAGAAGGACTTCTGGCAGGATTTCAAGGAATACAGGTTATCCGAGGAGTACTTAGAACTGAGCAGGAAGAATAAGAAGAATTCGTAGAAAGCGACGAATCCTCATCATCTCGGCTCTCGTGGCTACGCCAAAAAATGCTAGAGTTTGAAGCAGAACTTCAAAAGATGGATCGCCTTGCTGAGGAAAGCATTCAGGTTGAGACCACCGATTGGGAGCCTAGATCGGTAATATACTGTATGGGGAGGAAAGTATGGCACGCCGAGGACGTGAGCTTTAGCTCCTCAAATCAACCCATGAGCGAACTCATCCATAGGATCTCCTAGGTAACTGAGGAGGTGAGGCAAGGGACTCGCACTTCTAATAGGGAGAAATACATGCTCACCCAAGCACTCGGAACCAAGGAGCACCCTGGTTGCACTAGAGGAACCAGTGTTGTTCCTTGGAAACTAGCATTCCCCCAAGAATCTAACACTTACCAGAGCCGCTTGAGGGGTAGAGTGAAACAAGAGGCAGAGTATTTGAGGAGACTAAAAGAGATGGAAGACAGAATGGAAGCACGGATTGAGGCGACCATTGAAGCGCAAGTCGAGCAAATTTTACTGTCCAAGGGGTTAGTAGTACCACAAAACCCTCCTGCTATTGCCTTTAGCCCACAGTTTAGGGGTCGCAGTAGCTGCAGATTGACCCCGCTCGATGAAGAAGAGGCGAATGTGCCTCATCCGATAGATGACATCACCGAACCTGTCAATGTCAGGTTGTACATCCATTAGGAATGGACAAAGGACAAGGTGGCACTCGAGCCAGGCCTGGCCTTTGAGAGATGGGACAATTAATGGCCGCCTAATTCCACTGGGGTACGCTCGCGTCACCATTGACAGAATACTTGATAAGAAGTATAATAAGATACCCATTGAGTACCCCGTAGCGGAAGACAGGCCAAAACTTGGTCATAACAAGGGCTCTCAAGTGGCCTGGCACAAGCACTTCATTAAGCTTGACCACCAATTGTCCTCTGATGATGAGGACGACTGCGAGTCTTCGCCCACCCGCGATGATAACTCACCATCTCCCAACAGAGATCACTCCCCTCCTCATCTGGAGCCATCACCCCGAGAAGACAGAGGTCTCCTTCTATTCCTCCTCGTCTCGACTCTATCTTCATCAGCCCCGAGAAAAGAGACTCCTCCTCCTCCTCCTCCTTCATCAGCCCCAGGAAAACAAAATTCTTGTCGTCATCCTCCTCCTCCTCCTCCTCCTCCTCCACCTCAGCCCAAAACAAGATCAAGGACATCCTCGCAGTCGCAGAAAAGGTCCTTGAATTCGGTCGCTAATGCTCCCAAAGTGGACCAACAAAAAGAAAAATGCCGTTCAGTGACAACGTTACCTCCTTGATGGAAGAAAAATTTACAGCACACATCTCGAAGGAAGATTGTGTTAGTTTCTTCAATCTCTGTGCCTCACTGCCTTCGTTTATGTTGAAGTCCGAATTCGAAAGACAAACACAGAATAAATACGCTACAACAAGAGATGAAGAAATACACAATAAAGATTTAAGGAGCATATAGAAGTACATCGAAGACAACCTAGGATTAACCATGGAAGAGGCCGCGACCATCTATTATGATGTACAAGGGACGGTAACACCGGCAATGAAGTATGTAAGGGGCAATATTTTGGTTCCCAATCATGAGTATAAAAATCTAACAACATATATGCGCCAGTTACATAAATATTACATGGCTCAAGCAACAGAGACGGATGACTTTGGTTTTGAGGTTATTATCCATTCGACACATGTTTTCCATTATCCTGAAGAAGAGAAGTTCGATGTCGAGTGGGAGTGCTTGTTCCAGCTATACCAGAAACGCGATCTCGATGTTCAACTATTGACGCTGTGGACTATGTAAGTACCCTACACGCACGATATTACAATTAACTACTCTCTCGAGACACAAATTGTTAACTTTTGAGCACTTCCCATGATTTTATGTAGGTGTATAGCAAAATTTTGCATTCTAAAAAGCAAATGGGATTACATAGGCTTCTTGGACCCCATGCGAGTCAATGAGAGGACATGTCTAGGCCTCTATGGATCTGATGTGGAAGACCTAAAACAGAGATTAATTGCTGTTTTCAACGAATTCACGATGAAGAAGAAAACCCACATACTTCTAGCCTATAACTACGAATATGTGTTCTCGGCTTTTAATTTTATGCTTCTTTTTTCGTTAAGATTATTCGATAATTAGGATTCTGTGATTGCAGCAACCATTTCATCTTCATTTGTGTTAATCTTACCAAAAATCTGCTCGAGTTGTGGGACTCGAAGAAAAAACCATTTCATCATCTGGATGCACTGGTGTCAGTGTTGAATTAGTAAGCGATCCTAATAACATATTATTTTCTAATCACACATACCGCTTTCTAATGTTTCTCCTTTTAATGTTGCTCAGTGTCCGAAGAAGACATATCGGTGGAAAGCCGGTCCCATTCAAGGTTATCGAAATGGAGGGGAAGTACCTATCATAGCCGGCGGGAAACAATGAATGCAGGTTTTATGTAATGTGGGCAATGCTTCGCTACATCGGTGGGAAATCGGAAGAAGCCGATAAGTTGGTGTGTATAATCCCCATTTCATTTATGTCTGTTAATAATTCAACAAAATGATTTACTGTTCCTCTTTGGATATCATCTTTTTTGCATGACAGCGCAAGAAATATAAGCACGAAAGGCTGCTAGACATGGAGATCGTCGCACTACAATCGGAGCTGGCAAAATTCATCTTTGTCGAGGTATTGGAAAAAGATGGAGTATTTTCCATTGCCCAATCCGTAAAGTACAAGGACCAGTATGGCCCAGAGTGGCTCGCCAGATTATTGTAAGAAGTCCGAGAAGCATGTGTGAAGTCTAAGAACATTTCTTTTTTATTTTGAGGGATCGAGATGTGGATAAGAACATTTGAATTGTAATCGTAACATTTGTAATGTTTAATATTGATGGACCTGTCGTCTACGTAGCGTATATAAACCGAAACCCGATTCCACGAAAAAATATAAATTAAAATAAATTATAAAACAATAAATTACGAACGGACCATCACCGTCGGTTAGCAACAAACCGGCAGTGTTATCGTAACCATCACTGCCGGTTAGAAACAAACCGACAGTGTTGGCTTGCTCAACACTGCCGGCTTGAACAATGAACCGACACTGATGGTTACAACAAACACTGCCGGTTTGGTCCATGAACCAACACTGATATTTACTACAACACTGCCAGTTTAATCTATGAACCGACAGTGTAGGCTTACTCAACACTGTTGGCTTGAGCCAAGAACCGACACTCTTGAAGCAACCGTCACTGTCGGTTGGCACGACAAACCGGCAGTGTTATTCAACTGGACACTGCCGGGTAGAGCTAGGAACCGACACTGTTTCCTCTAGATCAGTGTCGGTTTTTAAGGACCGACAGTGATGTCAACCCCCCATCACTGCCGGTATGCCACTGTCGGTTCAAAATCCGGCAGTGAAGTGGATTTTTGAACCGACAGTGATGTTCAGATCTGGGGTAGTGCAAGCTCCCGCGTGCCGCGCGATTTGGGGCCGTGGCGGCGGTGTGATTTGGGGCCACGGTGGGGAGCTCCCACGCGCTGGGCTTAGGGAGCGGTAGCAACCTCCCATGCAGAGCTATCGCTGAGCTATCACATGGGTGCGGTGGCGCTCGCGAAGCGGAGGAGGTGGCGAGCTCTTGTCGCGGTGCCCACGCTGCTAGGCCGGGGAGTTGGAGGATTTTTTATATATATAAATTAAGAGTTTGACAGGTGGATCCCATTAAACGGTAGCTAACGACATCAAATCCACCTTCCATCTCATTCATATTGATCCCTTCAACCAAACGTAAAATAGGTCCATCCGTCCCTTATCAACCAAAAAGAAAATAGAATCGTCTCATACCAAAAATCAGAGACGGGACCGTCCCACTCCACCCTGACTCCCAACCAAACGCTACGTGGGAGAGAGGGACTACTACCAAAAGGCAAGGGATGTACAACTACATGTATAAAGGGAGAGGGCACTAATTAATGTATATAATATTAGATGCAAATTTGACCTTATTTGTTGCCTATTATTAGCACGGTTTCTACAAAAGTGAAGAGGCTAAATAATGTGAGGCTATGGTCGCTCTTCCCTGCAATCAAGCTCGTCGTTAAGCTTGGCTTTCCTCTCCCACAACGTCATGCGAGCTAATAAACACGAAGTTAACTCGTTGCTGGAGGCGGGATCCCGACCATGCGAGACATGTCGCGGCACACGTTGCTGTTCCTTTTTGCCTTGTTGGCGTCGGCGACCCAGCTGAGCGCCGTCGATGCGCTGATCGTCGACGGCCTGCAAGTGGGGTTCTATGGCAAGACGTGCCCGGAGGCCGAGGGCGTCATCAGCGACATCGTCAACAACGAAATCGCTATGGACCGGGGCATCTCCCCTGGCCTCATTCGCCTTTTCTTCCACGACTGTTTCATCACGGTAACTTCCCTAATTAACACTTCACATTTACTCACGCTTATGCTGCACTGCATGCATGCACACCATATCGTCGTGGGTTGGTGACTGTTGGTGTACACTCATATGCCTGTGCCGCCGGCCGGTTCTGTGCGTGCAGGGTTGCGACGCTTCTATTCTCCTGGACGAGTCGCCCGCTGGCGATGTCCCAGAGAAGGAGTCGTCCGCCAACGGTTTCACCCTCGTCGGCCTCAGAACCATCGACATCGCCAAGTCCACTCTAGAGGGCATGTGCCCCGGCACGGTCTCCTGCGCAGATATCCTCGCCTTCGCGGCGCGGGACGCCGCCGTGGCCGCGGGCCTCCCAAGATACGACGTCGTGGCGGGACGCCGCGACGGCATGCGCTCAAACATGGATGACCTCCCGGGCAACTTCCCCGTGCCGGGCCACCACGTCCCGCGCCTCACCGAGCTCTTCAACCAGCGAGGCCTCTCCCAGGAGGACCTTGTCTTGCTCTCCGGCGCGCACTCCATCGGCGGCGCGCACTGCTTTATGTTCTCCAACCGCATCTACAACTTCTCCCAAAACGCCGACATCGACCCAACGCTGGACCCGGAGTATGCCAAGTGGCTACGCCAGATGTGCCCGCCGCGGAAGCCCGACGACGACCCCGAGCAAGCGCCCAAGGTGAAGTTCGACGCGCAAACTGGGGAGAAGCTCGACGTCGCGTACTACTCCGAGCTGCTCGCCCGGCGCGGCCTGCTCACCTCGGACAACGCTCTCATCGAGGACCCACAGACGAAGGCGATGGTGGAGGCCTTCGCCCGGAACGAAGCACTGTGGCAGCAGAAGTTCGCCCAGGCGATGCAGAAGGTCGGAATGCTTGACGTGCTCATCGGCGAGGGCAAGGGCCAGGTAAGGAAGCAGTGCCGCCTGGTGAACGGTCAGGAGGATATTGAGCAGCAGCAGCCACAGCAGGAGGAGCAGCAGCCGCCACAGGAGGGGGAGGAGGAGCAGCAGCAGCAGCCACAGCCACAGCTTCCGTGGTTCCTGCAGAGGCGCCGGCCGCCCCTTCCATGGCGCCGGCCACATCATCGGCCGCGTGTACCGTTTCGCCGCCATCCGGTGGCCGACCTGGTCAACGGATTTTTCCGTGGTTTTCACTGAGGCCAGCACTATCCCCGCTTTCGGGACCTACATTTGCTCCAGGTTCGTTCCTTAGCTAGATGCTCAGGGACGTAGACCTCAGAATATGTTCCAAAATATGCATCACCTTAATTAGCAGGAACACGCCTGCTTTGCTTACTCTTTTTTCTAGAAAAAAAATTGTGTCTTCGTATTTGCCATACAACATATGCTACATCATATATATATGCAAGTTTTTATTTTCTTTGGCAAGGTACAGTATACCACCTTTGGATTGCTCAAATCAATGAAAATGTACGAAAGTAGCAATTTTGCACATCCGGTTGCCATCCAAACATAACCACCAGTGTGTTCTTCGTTCTGAGTTGTGACCCTTAACATGCAGTTGCAGACTGGTTTTCATAGTATTAAATTCTATATCATCTCAGTAGAAAATTTGGTGTGGCAGTTAATGACGAAACGGAAGAAAACATGATGAAACCGTTTCTCATGCGCCCGTGTCGCACTTTCGCGCACCTCGTTATCCTGGGAGCGCCCGCGCTACAGCAGTAACAGCACCAAGCCACTGTAGGCACGAGGCTGAGTCTGATGCTCACTGGTCGCGTCTTGCCCTCGTGCTCAGGCCCGACCCTGTCAAATTATAGACCTGGAGCGAAGCCACAGGCGATGGGCTCCCTTAATATAAATCTAATAATATAATGATAATTTTAATAAGTGTAATGCATAAATTTTTTTATGAAACAACAAAAAAGTTATACATCTTATATTACCTTAAAAATTTCTTCTAACATTTGCTGCTGCGAAGTCATTGATGATTGCCTCAATATCAATTTTATCTAATAATTTCTTCTCAATGCATAAAGTTGCCAAACCATTTAATCTTTCTTGGGATATTACAGACCTCAAATAATTCTTCAATAATTTTAGCTTTGAAAATGTTCTTTCAGCTGAGGCCACAGTCACAGGCATAGTGAATAGGATCCGATAAGCAATAGAAATATTAGGATAACAATCCGCTTCTATGACAAACTCAAAAATCTCCATAGCAGACATTGGCTTATCTGGCAGAGTAGACTGCATAACAGCTAACTCAATAGTAAAAACTGGTTCTTCATCAACACGAATAGATTCCGTCGTAGGAGAATTAAATATGGGCTCATGGTCACTCACATTATTATCATCCGTGTCGATGCCAACATTATCTTCTATACGGCTTTGATCTTCTTGTTGCGTAGTTTGATCCTCCACAGCAACTATTGCCCATTCATCTGAATTTCTTGCAGTGCTTGTATTGCTCTTAAAAAATTTATGAATAGATCCCTTTTGTGATTCTTTCAAGGCCTCTATCCTTCTCTTCTTTTTTCTTTTCTCACTTCCAGATGAATGCTTTTTGGGCAACATGACTTCACTGTATATTCAGACAAGTAGTAAGTATTAAAAAATATGCCATACTAAATTCAACATGATTGCTACATCATATGGGATTCCTAAACCCAAAATCTAAAAAAGTATAAAGAATAAAGATTGGGGTGATTAAGGGGGCTTGGTCGCTTAGGGCCGAGGCCTAGTTTCTTACCTCCGTATATGAAAACCAGCAGACCAGACAGAGTGCCGTCGGAGTCGCGATTCGCGAAGATCGCCAAGACGCACGATCGCTCGCTGCAGCCTCGCACGGGAGTCGGCACTCGCGCTCGCGCAGGAACAGCACTCGGCGCTCGCGCAGGAATCGCCAAGACGTGGTCACGCGGAAGGCAACGCGGAGGCGGCGGCGTCCTATCTCGTACGCCTGGTTCTCCTGCCTGTAGGGTTGGGCCAAATACAAATACTACTACTACTTACCTATTTGGGGTTGGGCCCCCTGGCCTTGAGGGCCTAGTGCGGCGGCCCAGCTCGAACCCCCCCAGGGCCGGGCCAGCTCGTGCTGTGCTGCCTAACTCGCTATCCGCTGCGTCCATGCGTGCTCTTGCCCGTGGCCCGTGGGACACCGCTCCTGCTCGTGTCGGTCCGTACACTGCTCTTGCATGATGGCAATGCTCGCCGCCAAACCGCCAGCGCCTACGCCACCACCTACAAATATACCTGGCCATGCAGCCCGAGGCCCGGCAGCCCGGCCCGAAGCCCGGCCTTTTGGCCCGACACGAGCACGGCCCGGCCCGCAGGCCACTGGGCTCAGGCTGGCCCGGCACGCAGCGCCAGGCCGTGCCTGGGCCAGCAGTTGAGCCTGCGGGCTGGCACGGCCCGGCAAGGGGTTTTGGAGGAGGCCCGGCAGCAGCCCGAGAGGGAGGCGGCCCAGCTCGCCAACGGCTCCCCCCACGCCGCCACCCCAGACCCCACCTATAAAAGGCGGCCGATGCGGCGCCCCCCTCCCGGCCTCCCCTCAGTCCCGCACTCCCGCTCGTAACCTAACCCTAATCCCCAATTCCCCATTCGTCCATTCGCATCTCACCACCACCAGCCGCCGCGCCGCTCTCAAACGCAGTGGCCAGTGACGCCTCACCATCTCCGACGCCGACTCCGGTGACCATGATCCGCCTCCCGCCGGCGTCCTCCCCTCCGTCCCTGCCTCTCCCTTCTCCCTCTCCCTATCTCCCTTCTAGATCTCGTTGATTATGTGAGTTGGTTGTCCCTGTTTGTCCCTCCTCCGCCGTCCGTCGTCGTTGCTGACTGACTGTCGTCTTCTCTGGACTCTGGGTGCTTGTCGAGGAATGGGGCTGGAGAGGCGGCCATGGCCGACGAGGATGGCCTCCTGCCGGTTGGCCTGGCCTGGCCCCAGAGCAAGGCGGCCACACAGCTCAGTTATCCTTTTAATTTCCTCTTGTTCTCTGTGTGTATGGTTTTGGTTTTGGTTTGAAGCTGTTCTGGGAAAAAAGACTTCAAATTTGAATACTTCTTGTTGAGATGAATTTTTTGATGTGTTTTAAACCCTACGGGACTCGGGCAGGCACGGCCTGGTAATTTGGCCGTGCCTAGCAGGCCAGCACGGCACGGATTTAGGCCCACAGGCCCGTGCTTGGGCTGATGGCAAGGCACGAGGCCCGCAGCGGCACGGCACGGGAGGCACGGCGTGCCGTGCCGGCCTGACATGTTGTTCGAGTCAGTATCAGAGTATGGGGTCTTCGGTGGCTCGGGTGGACTCAAGAACACAAGAATCACGCAAAGAAGACGCAATGGTTTATCCTGGTTCGGGCCAATTCAGTCCCTACGTCCAGCAGCTAATGATCTTTATACTCAAGAGCACCCAAAATCTGGGGGTTACAACAGAGTGTAAAGGAAGAGAAGTTTGGTAGGGGGTTAGCTCGGTGCTAATCCTTAGGTTGCCTCGCCGCTGGTGGAGTCTCCCTCTCATCGTTGAGGAAGGAGACGGTAGGATGCGGTGGAGGAGAGGCTCTCGGTGCAACTCTCCGGGTTGCCTTGCTCTCGGTGCTGAGCGGAGGCAGATGGAATAGAATGTAGTGTCTGGTGATAGAACTCGTATCCTCTCCCCTCTAGGTCTAACCTTATCCCTTATATAACGAGATAGGTTGGGTACAAGGCGGTTTGGGAGTTCTAGTCATGGTCTATGTGCGCCGGAGTCCAGGAGGGGCTTGCAGCGGTGCGTCATGGACCATTGAGGTGTCTTGGAGCCAAAGAAGCCTGGACATCGTTCGACTGCTCTGTTCTAACACTCTGCGTGTCAGGCGGTGTCGGCTTGGACCGGCCTCCATCGGGTGAGACCTTCTGGAGTCTTCTTGGTGGCGAAGGAGGTCGGCTCTAGGGGCTGACGCGTGGGCCTGGAAGCCCCCGAGCCCCCAGAGGCTGCGGGAAGCTTTGTCTTCTTATGTCATGCCCTAGACGTGACCCTATCAAAGGAGTAGTTGACAGGGGCACGCCAAGGGAGCGATGCCTGGGAGCCCCCGGGCATTGGTAGCCTAGGGCTTGTCTTCTTGTGCTCGAGCCTTGGCTGGCATCGTTAGCCGGGCAGGAGCCAAGGACCAGGCTCAGTCGTGCCATAGATCGGGAGCCCAATGCTCGAGGAAGCCCTCGAGCCCCAAGCGGAAGCTGCGGTCGAGTCAGGCTCGGTCGGGTCTCTTTGCCAGAGGGTGCTCGCGAGCGTGCCCGATGGGCATAGCCCTCGAGCCCCCGGGCAATCCTAAAGGGGTTGATCGGGGGGTCTTCTTCGTTTGGGAACCATTGAACTCGAGGCTTAACATACCTGTATGTTAGGATCTCATCACAAGGGTACAAAGGTTCTGGACTAAACTTAACATGCCTTAGGTAATTAAACCAAACAACAAATACATGGATGTAGCATGTGAATAAGATTGGTTCCTCCTAGTAGTGTGGCCACATAGCAAATTGTGTTGCAGCTTCTCCATAGTATCCTCCTAGTGTTGGTGGTGGTGGTGGCGGGGGTGGCGGCGGAGGCCCCTTGTTCTTGTGATTAGGGCAGGTGCAATATGGATCATTGCAAAGTGGCTCCTATGAACCGGCACCATTGTTGTTGTCATCCTCTTTGTCGTCCTTGTAACCGCTGCTAACTTCCCTTTCAAGATCGAAGATACGGTCCTGTAGGTAGTAGAAGTACTGCTGATGCAGATAAATTGGACGAGGATCGACCCACCTAGTGAACCCATAGTTTTCTTTGGACTCGGAAGACTGTAATGAGTATCTCATGTAAGTTGTAGTGCCAAATGAATACTAATAGCAATTTCTCAGTCTCGTGGGCATTTGAAGAAACGATGACCTCCATCCAATCCGTCGATGAACATCTGCACTAAGTAGTCCTCACCATGTATGTATTTTGGCCAATCTTCTTTTTGGTTATCGTATCCTCTAAGAGGGTTCTCTTTGGTGAAATCACTCTTGCTCTCGGGTGAAAAATGATACACAGGTTCCTCAAAGAAATCAGGACCAAGAGACCCTTCCCACACAATGGGAGTTCCCTTCATCCCCCCCATTCCTCGCCCAGTGTCGAAACCTCCCTCTAGATGACCCTCCAGACATTGCTACTCCAACGAAAGCAAATGCTCGTTTGGTTTTGG